GGGGTCCAGACTGCTGGAGGAGCATTGCACAGAGTGGCATCCATGCCCTATAATGTCCATGGAGCACTCACTTTGTGCCAGGCCCTGGGATTGCAAAGATGACTTCAGCCTGGCCCCAGTCTGTGAAGAACTCAGAGTATAGGGAGAGAAGCAAGTGAGACTTTCATATGCACGAGGGGTGGAGAGGGAGACGCAGAGGCTGGGAACACTCCCAGAGAAAGGGCAGTTGAGCTGAGTGTGAAGGATGAGAACAAGTGAGCCAGGTGAAGGCAGGGAGGAGCTCAGGTTCCTTTTCTGGATCCTTAGTCTTCCCATTTGCCCCTTGAAGGTGATGGATCACGACTTTCAAGGTCCTTCTGGCTTTTGACATGCTGCAACTCTATGGTCTTTGGCCTCCGGACCCTGGAGCTATGCGCTGGCTTCTGCTGCCCCCTGCTGGAGACTGTTGGTGGCACAACAGCTAACCTTACCTTTTCCTTTCCTTCCTTCCCCAAAGTGGCCAACACCATCCAATGCGCCACCCCCCCCTCCCCCGCTCCAAAAAAAAACCTCCCACCTCTCCAATAAGAAATTAAACAACACTTGCTTATCTCTCATATAGAAAATATTCTCAGTACATATTATTGTTTAAAATCTTTAAAATCTTTATTGTTGAGAGTATTACAGATTCTGCCCCCATCATTGGCCCCCTCCACCCGGTTCCCACCCTACCCCAGGCCTTCACCACCCTATTGTCTATGTCCATGGGTAATGCATATATGCATATAGGATCTTTGGTTAATCTCTTCCTGCCCCCCTCTTCCTCTGAGATTCGTCAGTCTGTTCCATGTTTCCATGCCTCTGGTTCTATTTTATTCATTATTTTATTTTTTTCATTAGATTCCTTGTTCATGTATTTTGATTTTTATCAATTATTGATAGATATGTATTTATTGCCATTTTATTGTTCATATTTCTTCTTCTTCTTCTTCTTCTTCTTCTTCTTCTTCTTCTTCTTCTCCTTCTTCTTCTTCTTCCTCCTTGCTCTTCTTAAAGAATATCCTTCAACATTTCATGTAGTACTGATTTGCAGATGATGAACTCCTTTAGCTTTTTCTTGTCTGCAAAGTTCTTTATCTGCCCTTCAATTCTGAATGATAGCTTTGCTGGGTAGAGTAATATTGGTTGTAGGTCCTTGCTATTCATCACTTTGAGTATTTCTTGCCTCTCCCTTCTGGCCTGCAAAGTTTCTGTTGAGAAATCAGCTGACAGTCATATGGGCGCTCCCTTGTAGGTAACAAACTGCTTTTCTCTTTATGCTTTTAAGATTCTCTCTTTGTCTTTAGCCCTTGGCATTTTAATTATGATGTATTTTGGTGTAGGCCTCTTTGGGTTCCTCTTGTTTAGGACTCTCTGGGCTTCCTGGATGTGTAAGTCTATTTCTTTCACCAGGTAGGGGAAGTTTTCTGTCATTATTTCTTCAAATAGATTTTCAATATCTTGCTCTCTCTCTCTTTTCCTTCTGGCACCCCCTCCCCCAGAAGTTGTCCCAGAGGCTCCTTACACTGTCTTCATATTTTTGGATTCTTTTTTCTTTTTTGATCTTCTGATTGGGTGTTTTTGTTTTGTTTTTGCTTCCTCATATTTCAAGTTGTTTATTGAGTCTCAGAATCCTCTACTCTCAACCTTCTGTTGAATCCCTGTAATATATTCTTTATTAGTGCTATGTAATTCTTCATAGTTACTATGTCTTTTCTCAAGCTGTTGAGCATCTTTGCCATCATTATTCTGAACTCTATGTCTGGTAAATTTCTTATCTCCATTTCATTTAGCTCTTCTTCTGGAGAATTATCTTGTTCTTTCTTTTGGGGATTGTTTTTTGTCTCCCATTTTGGCTGCTTGTTTGGATTTGGGTTTATGTATTAGATAGATCTGCTATGCCTCCCAATCTCTGGTGCCAGACAGCATCAGACACTTTCTGACTGGCCCTGAGTACTCTGTTTGGCGCTGTCAGCAATCCATAGCTTGTGGCTCCCTCTGCTGGGCTGGGTGCCTTTGGAAAGGATCAAGACGTACACCAGGATCTGCTTTTCCTAACCCAGGCCCAGAAGAAGACCAGTCCAAGACTCAAAGCCTCCAGAGATCCGCCTCTGCCTGCAGTCTGATTGTTATTCTCAGTCTTAACTTGCTTGAGGTTATAGACCACAGGATGGGGCAAAAGGTCTTCCAACAGGGTGGGGCAACTGCCTTCTCCCCAGGCAAAAGCCACCTGGATAGCAAAGGTCCTCAGAGAAAGATGTTCTCCGCAGCATGAGAGAACGGCTCAGCACAGGTAACTGGGATGCCTGCCCTCTGAGCTCCAACCCCAGGGCCCCCAAACCTGGACTCTCCTCACACAGCTTCAGTCCACTCTGCCCTCCCTCTGCTGGAGCCCAAGATGCGTGGCTGCACATAAAATTTTGTGCATGAACTCTTTAAGAGGGTGCCTGCATTTCCAGCCATCTCTCGCTGTCAGACAGCAACCCTGCTGCTTTTCACAGCCAGATGTTCTGTGGGCTCCTTGATCAGTTCTGGTTTTCAGGGCTGGGGAGCCCAGCTTGGGGTTTAGACCCCAGAGTTCTCCGTGGGAACCTCTACTGCTGAGCTATTCCTCCGGACCTTCAGCTGCTGTCTGTGGGAGCCTGGCCAGCCCTTTCGCGCCTCCGCACTTCCCACCAGCCTCTATGCAGTCTCCACTTTCCGTCCTTGGTTATCAGGGTTCTCTCCAGCGAGTCTTCAGTGGATTTTTCAGGGTGGCTTTTCTGTACTTTAGTTGTATTTACAATTTGGTCCTGGGAGAGTGTCCTTGTAGCTTCCACTTACTCTGCCGCCATCTTTAATCTCTCTCTCGATACATATTATTGACAAAGGACTTAAAACCAGACTACATAAAGAATTTATAACCATCATAACCCAGCAATCCCACTCCTAAGTAGCTACTAAGATAAAGAAACATGTATGTCCACACAAGCTTTTACACAAATGTTCACGGTAACCTTATTCATAGTATCTTCAAATTGAAAAACAAAATAAAACAGTGCCCACCAACTGGTGTAAAGATAAAACAAATTGGGGTAAATTCATACAATGGAATGCCACTCAGCAATAGCAGCAACAAACTACTGAAAAGCCGTACAGTGCGTGAAAGGAGCCAGCTAGGCACAGATGTGCAAATATTGTCTGAACCATTTATGTAAATTCTAGGACAAACAAATCTACAGTAATGAAAAGCAGATCAGAGATTTCATAGGGCTGGTTTGGGGAGGTGAGATGGAGTTGGGGTGCAGTGTTATCTGCAAAGGGCCAGAAAGAAGTTTTGGGGGGAAGGGAGTGTGGTTTAAAAAAAATATTTTTATTAATATCAAAGAGGAAGGGGAGAGAGATAGAAACATCAATGATGAGAGAGAATCATTGATCAGCTGCCTCCTGCACGCCCGTGGGATCTAACCTGCAACCCGGGCATGTGCCCCGACCAGGAATCAAACCATGACCTCCTGGTTCATAGGTTGATGCTCACCCCCTGAGCCATGCTGGCCGGGCTTGTTTTTTTAATTTTTATTGGACTGGTGGTTACACAGATGAACACATTTGCCCAAACTCATCAAACTAAGTGAAATGAGCCAGACACAAAAGGACAAATTTGTATAACTCCACATTTTAGGTACTTTGAGGAGTCAAATTCATAGAGACAGAAAGTAGCATAGACGTGGGGGCTGTGGGAGGAGGAGTGGGGAGTTACCGTTTAATAGGGACAGAGTTTCCATTTGGGATGATGAAAAAGCTCTGGAGACGGGTGGTGATGATGGCTGTTGCACGCTATGAATGCACTTAATGTCACTGAACTGTACGCTTAAAATGTTTACAATGGTAGATTTTATGTTTTGCATATTTTACCACAATAAGAAAAATCTAAAAAACCATCATCGAAGTGTGCACTTTTACGTGGCTACTTTCCCTCATATATCTATTTTACCTCAACAATATAAAGTTGATCTTTCAGAGCCGCCAAGGAGGAGCGTGCCTGTCTTGCTCTTCCTGAAGGATTGTAGACTTTGCTGTCGCAGGCAGCGGTCTGCCCTGTAATCAGACTGACCGCAGACCTCGCTTCAGATTCTGCGTCTGCCACTTACTGGTGTTCTAACCACTCGGGACGCGGGTCCCGTCATGTGCATGCAGCAGTCTCGCTTTTAGGATGAAATGAAGCCGTGCACTTAGAGGGCGGATGATGAGGGCAAATGTTACAAAACTGTCTTTGTCCCTCAGAGGGCGGCTGAGAAGGGAAAGGTGCGCTAGGACGGGCGGGGGCAGGTTGCCGACCTCCGGAGCGAGCACATTCGCCCGCCCAGGTCCGTCGGGCGGGCTGTGCAGGTGGCCGCCGGCCGCCAGGTAGCGCCCGGCCGAGGCCGCGGACCAGGAGCTTTCCAGCATCGCACCTGCCCAGGCGGTGTCTGGGGGCGACCGGAGGGGAGAGCCTTCCCCTGCCGCCTTCCCTGCTGGCCCTGACCGGGGTCACGGTGCGATCTCACCGACCCTCCTCCGCAAGCCCACTCTGCAGACTGGAAGGCTGAGGTCCGAGAGGTGCAGCCGGGAGCCCTGGCCGCCCAGCCGGCGGGGGGCTGCTCTCCCGTTCTCATCCCGGTCTGCTGCTCCGGTCCGGTCCGGTCCGGTCCGGTCCGCCTGCCGGGGCCTCTCAGTCCCACCCCAACGCCGCTTTCCCCCTCCCGGGCTCTCTGGGCTCCCGGCTTCCTTGTGAAAACTTCCTGCCGCGGCGCGGCCCGAGTCCCACCTCCTTCCTGCCCCCCGCCCCTCCGCCTCTCCCCGCCCCGCCGGCCACAGCCTTAGGCTCCCGCCGCCCCGCAGTTGGGCTGGGGCTCCAGGCGGGGACCCTCGTCCCGTCCTCCTCCCTGGCGGGCCCCGCCCCAGGCCGGCAGAGGTCGGACCCCGGGCAGGTGAGTGGCCGCGCCCCGCCCCGGGGAAGGGCGAGCGCACGCCGAGGTCCCGGCTGGACTGGAGCCTGAGCCCCCTGGGCGGGGAGCGGGGACGCGGGAGGAAGAGATGCGAGTGGGTGGTTGCAGTAGAGGCCCACGGGACGGGTACCTGACAGCAAAGGAGGCTGCTGCGGCCGGTGAGTCCAGGGCAGCCCCCCCGCCCCTCCCCGGGCTGCAGGGACAAGTACCGGGTCCTCTACTTGGCTGAAGGGAGCGGAGCGCTAAGAGCACCGCAGGGGAGTCAGGCTGCTAAGCTGGAATCGCCACGCTGCCCCCGACCAGCTGTGGGACCTTGGTCAGGAGGCGTAAGCTCCGAGCCTCAGCTTCTCTTTTCTAGGTGCACAGCCTACCTCGTGGGGCGGCTGCTGGCTGGGAAGAGCAAAAGCATGTCCCCCGTCAGCGTTTATAATATCAGTGTGTGAGGAGGCTGAAGGGGAGGGAGGAGGTTGCAGGTTTCTGGCGCTCCGGGCTTTGCCTGTTTGGAGGGCTTAGGAAGTCGACCGGAGGTCACAGGCCCTGGGTCCTCAGAGGGCCCTGTGGGCTTGGGGTGATCTGAGGTAGTGCCAACAGCAAGACGGGTGGGTGCGGCAGGTTCGGCTCCGGGAGACCCAGCAGGGCCAGCCCTCACCCCCACCTCCAGCGTCCAGTAGTAGACTCTGCTCTCCTGGCCTTTTATGAGTGGCCTCTCCCGGGGCTGGCCTGCGCTCCCAGTCCCCCGGGATGGGAACAGCTTGTGCTGGCCTGAGGTTCCCAGGATCAGCCAGACCTCAGCTCCAGGCAAGATTGGGCAAGGGGTCAGCTCTGGACCCTGGCCTAAGCTGGGCCTGGGCGGCAGGGAGCTGTTCTCTGAACCCCCTCCCACCCTAGTCCAGGATACAGGACCTGTGTGTGTGTGTGTGTGTGTGTGTATGTGTGTGTATGCGCGCGTGCACACACACGTGAGCCAGGGTGTGGGCTCAGCTCTCCTGTCTCCTGCCATCTGTCCCCTGCTGCTGCCCCTCCCACTTTTGAGGTCTCCCCAAGTCTCCTCATCATACTTGCTGCTGCAGTTGGGGCTACCTTCTCTGCCACCTGGCAGCTGGCTTGGGGGCCAGGCTCACCTCTCTGTCTTCCTCTTTGCACTGGGAATGAAGCCGGTGGTTGGCATCAGTTTCTCCACTGCTCCCATCCCCGCCATTCCCTATCAGACTTTCCCAGAAGAGGAAACTCCAGGCAGCCCCATCCACCAATCGGAAACCTGGATAGAGATAGAGGTCACTGGGCTTCTGTCTTCCCCCCCACCCCACATCAACACGTGCTGCTGGGGAGGGAGCCGGGCCTGCACTGAGGTGCTCCCCAGCCGCTCCTTCCAGAAGCCTTGAGAAAGAGGACTCCTGGGAGACCGAGGGGTTCCGGGGCCCATTCTAAGGGGAGGAGGGTGTTGGCTCCATTCTTGGCACATGAGCTTTGGGAGGAAGCCAGCAGGAGAAGGAAGAGGAGGCAGGGACAGAGAAAGAGATAGAGAGACATAAATATGGAAATAGAGAAAGAGCCTTAGAGACTCCCGGAAACAACAAGGCTCAGAGCGGGTCGGGGGTGGAGGGGAGGCCAACTTAGAAAAACAGAGCAGAGACCAAGAGGAAGAACAAGGAGGGGGAGACAGAGGAGAGACAGAGAGTCCGAAGACCAAAAAGAAGCCACAGGGAGAGAAGGGCCTCAAAGGGGCTGCACAGGCTGGTCCAAGCCCAGTGACTCCGCGTTCTCACCTGGAGCAAACTCCTAACCTCCCTGGAATATTTCTTCACCTACAAAATGGAAGGCATAATAGCGCCTGCGTTCTAGGATTGCTGAGAGGATGAAAAGTGAGGATCTAGCCCACAGTATACGTTTAACAAGGGATAGTGATTGGTATTGCCACACCACATGTGGCAAGATAGAGGTTTCCAGAGAGGAACCACATGTGGGGGGGCCTTAAGGCCTCCTGGGTCCCCTCTCCTGCCTCTACCCCCTCCCCCCCGCCCCCGCAAGACGTGGCCTCGAGCCTCTTCCCTCTGTTTTGGAGGAGGTGTGGATGGACAGTGAGGGGACATTGCCCCTGGGCTACGGGTGACACTTCCTCCTCCCCAGGTGACTCAGTGCTACACTGAGGAGCACTCATCCCATAGGAACTTGGAGGCCAGCCCTAAGGAATTCCTGCTAGAGGTCAAGGGGTCAGGTCTGGAGCTGCCTTTCACTTTGCAACAAAGGAAGTTCTTTCTGAAAGTCCACCTTCCGTTGTCTTGCCAATGCTGTGTCTTGAGGGCCCTGAAAGGAGGGCCCAGCTCCGCTGTCTGGTGAGCCAGGGAGAAGCCACAGCTCCCAACCCCTCCCCCTCGCTCCCATTCCCCACCAAGGAAGACCAAGTCTTACGGGAGAAGGAAGGATTTTGGGGCTAACCAGTGAGATGTGTGGTGACGGCTGGCCGGTGCCCGCACCCTGGGTGCATGCATGTAGGTGCTGGTGGTGCTGGGGATGCCGTGGAGAGGACGGTGGAGAAGGACCCTGACACCTCACAGCTCCTGTGGGGGAGACTTTCCGTAGCAAAAGCATGATGACTGTGGGATGGGAGTGAACATCCAGGGGGCAGTCGCCGACACACTGATGGAGCCTAGGAGAGGAATTAGATAGGGGGGGGGGGGTCCCAGACTCACAAACCAGCAATCGCAAGGGGGGGTCTCATCACCTGACCGGTCCATCAGACTTGAAGTGTTCCAGGGGCTGTGAACTTCTGGATGGGCCTGGGATAGACCCACCTGCCCCCAGAGGAGGGATACCGGTACCAAGCCTTTGGCTGGGGTCTCGGGAAGTATTGACCCATGTCCAGTTTGGAGTCGGCCTTAGGCAAGAATTGGGGGAGGAGAACAGCCAGTTCACCTTTGGGCAGGGGGACTGGTCACGGGGGGCAGGGGGGGGCTGTGGTGATGAGGGCAGGCAGGAATGGCCGAGGTCTGGAGCCACGGAAGGGGCTTCCTGGGTGAGGCCGGCCTTAAGGATGGGCAGGACCTGGGCATTTCAGAGGTGGCCTGGGCAGAGGCGGCAGTGTGGTGAGAGGCAGGTGGGGCAGCGGCTGTGCAGGGTGGTGGGAGCCCAGGGGCAGAGGCCCAGAGGCTGGACATCTGGTGGGGATCACCGCTTGGAGCCCTTTGCTGTGGTAGAGGGCGCATTAAGAGGGGCGCTGGCCAGAGCAGAGCGGCGCTCTCTGAGGGTACCTGGGGGTGGCGATGAGCACCCATTGGCGGTGGGCCAGAGGGGAGTTTTCCACTGGAAAGAGTGGCTCCCTGGCCCGTGTCGCCCCAGGGGTTACTGTCCACCCACTGCTTTGGTTTTTCAAGGGGATGTTGGTCCTGCAGTTGCCTCTGACAACCAGTCAGTCCTTGGGCGAATCATCCTACCCGAGACCCCATGTCTCACCGTGAAGTGGGGGTGACAGTCACTAGCACCTACGGGTGGTGGCGAGGGTGGGGACTGGCGCTGGCGCCAGCCTCCAGTAGGCGGGGAGGCGTTTGGTGAATCAGATCCCTGCAGTTTCCCTATTTCCTGATGAGTAAACAGGTCGGGCTGAGGACCCTCTAGCTTCTGTTTCCTGAGCCACAGAGAGCATAAGGCCAGCCCCTCACCCCTGCCCCCTTCCCGCCCCGCCTCTGGCACGAACATGAGCGTGCAGGCTTCCTGTCCCTCCATCCGGCAGACATGCCTGGTGTGCCGGCGGCCTGGCTTGGCTGGACATAGGAGGGGCTCTGAGCTCGCATGTGCAAGCGTGGGTGTGTGTGCACTGAGCGGCGTGGAGAGCTGGGTCGGGGCACATTCCTGTGTGGGAGGAAGGGGGAGTCTTCAGCCTGGATCTCACTGAGCGGAGAGGCCTGAGGGTTCCTATCTCCATGGCAAAGATAAGTTAGGAAAGGGCACAGAGAAACAGACACAGAGACTGGGAGAGAGACAGGAAGACAAGAGATTCAAGGCAGGGCAGCCTGGGCCCCAAGCTAAGGCACATGGCTCAGTGAGCGGGTCGTGGCTGGAGTTCAGCTTCCGCCTCACAGTTGAAGGCACGTTCCCTGGTGCAGTGACCATACTGCACAACTGTACCCGGCAGCCTTGGTGTAGGAGAGGAAGGAGAGACCAAGAAACTGATGGAGGAAGGAAACCCTCACTGGGCCCTGGGACATGGGAGTTATTCTCCCACTTTACAGACAAGGAAGTGGAGGCTCACAGGGCTCAACTGCCACCTGAGGTCACATTGTCTGTGACAGAGAGAGAGAGAGGGAGAGAGAGAGGAAGAAGAGGCCAGCAGAACCACGCAAGGAGTTGGAGGTGGTTTTCAGGGTGAGGGCTGGGGAAGCAGAATCTAGGCAACCTGCTCGTCAGCCACCTTTGGCCTGAGGAGGTATCTGGTGGTCAGCCCATGGTTCTGGGGGTTAGGTCTGGGGGATCAGGGCAGGCCCCCCAGCCCCAGTTCCTCTCTTCCTGTCAGCATCTAGGGCCCTAGTCCTATTCCTGATCATGCTGGGGGTTCTTCAGAAAAACACACAGCTTTTCCCGGAATTAACACTCGAAGCGTATGACAGTGCCAGGGGACGCGGTGGGTGCAGGGCTGAGACAGCTGATGCTAACTGAGCTCATTATATATGGGCTCTCAGCGCATTATCTGCACTAACTCAGACTTCAGTCTGCCCAGCAACCCTACCAAGGGAAGAACTCTTCTCCTCCCCATGTTATAGACGGGGTTCATACCCAGGCTTGAGCCGGGTGGGAGGGGATGCAGAACTCAGAGGGAGTCCTTTGCTGCGCCACTTCCCAGAGGAGAGAAGCGGGGAGGGACGGTGCGGAAGGTCCTCTTGCTGGCCTACTCCATCAGCCCCGCGCTCGCCGTTTGCTCTCCAGAAATGGATCCTCTGTCTGCTAGGAACTCTCCCAGAGGCCTCGCCTCACCCCCCTCCTCCTAGCAGGGGCTGTGGCACAATGAGGGCAGCGGGCTCCCCACTGGAGAAAATCAGGCTGAGCTCGGAGAAGAGCAGGGGAGGATGAGCTGGGCTGGGCTCGGTGTGGGTTTGGGGGTAGAGAGGGCAGATTGCCGGGGCTGCTCAGACAGGACTGGGGCCTGGGGGCCTGGCCCGGAGCCCAGCTGCTTTGCATCTCGAGGTGGAGGAGAGACGTGTCAGCTCATTCTTGACTGTAAACACATCCCGGTTCCCACGCCTCTGACTTGTCCTTGCTGCAGCCCCGTCCCCTTCGCCCGCCAGGCTTCCCCGCTCTCCACCACGGAGGCTTTTAAAAAAGAGATACAAAGCCCCTGGGATTCCTGCCTGGGCTCCGAAAAGACTGGAACCAGCCCTGATGCTACTGGCTGTGTGGCTTTGGGCAAGTGACTCGCCCTCCTTGTGCCTGTGGTTCCTTATCTGTAAAGTGAGTAATAAATAATACCTACCGCGATGGGCTGATAAGCTTTAAATAAACACCCTGCCTTGCTCAACATGGTGGCCCACGTGTGGGCTCACATCATTCTTGTGAGGGAAGGGGTCTGGGTCCCTCAAACCAGAGACACAGTGGAGGACGGGGATTACACGGGGGGGAGGGGCCTTCGGCATGGGAAGGAGCAGTGGGGGGTCCTGGGGGCACATCTCAGTGAATGAATTGAGGGCCCCTGGGATGGGATGGGGCGCCAGCAGTTGTCTGATTTGACCCCCTTGAGAGGCTCATGTAATCACATGGGCCCAGTGCTGCTGGGACTGGAGGGGCCGGGAGAGAATGGACCAGGGCCTCAGGCGCCCTTGCCCCTCAGGAGCAAAAAGGCTCTGAAGGGAACAAGCCTGGGAGGCGAGGCTGGGGCTCTGGGCCCCTGGTCAGGCCTGGGCACCCTCCTCAGGGGCTGATGCAGGTTCGGCCAAACCCTTCTCCTCCCTTCCAGGCTCCCCATCCCATCTCCCCGCTCCCTGCTGACTACCCACTGGTCTCCCAGACCACACCCTGGCTTCCAGCCCCACTACCAAGTAGCTGATATACTCCCGTCCTACCATGAGGCCCTTTGGCAATGCGAGCCCAGCTATCCTCACGCTCCCTGCCCACCTCCAGGCCTCTCAGAGCCAGCCCCTGGAGAGCCATCTCCCCTAGGGGTTGGTGGGAGGAGGGCATGGTGGGAGGGGCTGATGTTGGGAGGGGCTGATGGTGGGAGGGGCTGATGTGAATGGAAGAAGGACTTTCTGTGGGCCAGGAGCCCGACTGCAAGGCCCCTCCTCCTGCCGCTGTCCTTCCTGCTGCAGGTTTCCCCACCTCACTGGGGCCTCTAATTGGAGACAGATCCCAGCCAGGGGGAGCCTGGGGTCCTGGTGTGGCTGGAGATGAGGCTTACCCAGGGAAGGTCCTGGATCCAGACAGATGAGTTCCAGCCTGAGGACAGGGACCCCATGCCAGGGCCACCGTGAGGGCTCAGCAAGGGTGGAATGTGGACAGGGTGATGTGTGGAGGGCTCAGGAGCACTGGAGGGAGACGTGGGAGGTCAGCTGGGAGCAGACAGGGCGAGCCCTGGAGGTAGGACTGGGCCGGGAAGGTGGCTAGAGCAGGGCAGGGGCAGGGACAGAGGGAATAGCAGCTTGGGGACGTTGGGGGAAGGAGCCAGCTCTGTTTGGGAGGGGGGTGGCGCACTGGGACAGGCTATGGGATTTGAAGGACACTACTGGTCCCGGAGGACAGGCCGAGTCCCCTCACCTACTCAGAGTGAGCCACAGTGCTCAGCTTGAGAGACAGGCCACTGGAAAGAGGGATCCCCCACATCCCACATGGAGGGCAGTGGGAAGATGGAGCCACCCCACTCCCTGCTGCCCTCCCCCAAATGCACATTCTGTCTAGTCTTCACTTCCTGTTTTCAGGCTCCATATCCCGAGCACCAGGGTCCCCCAGGACACTCTCTGGCCTTGAGGCCGCGGTGCCCTACCACACAGACAACACAGTGCTGGGCTCACCTGAGTTCCGGGTGCTGTAGGGGCCTGGGGAGTTACTTGTAGTGAGTTAGTGGGCCCTGAGGCCTGGGGGGAGGAAGCACAAAAGCCCAAGGGGGAGATGTGCCCCCAGGGAGCCGATGGGACAGTAGCCAGGGTGGGGGTGGAGTGCTGCTCTGCGGGACCAGAGGGCGAGGGTAAAGATTGTCAGTGGGCCCTGACTGGTTTGGCTCAGTGGATAGAGCGTCAGCCTGCAGACTGAAAGGTCCCAGGTTCGATTCCGGTCAAGGGCATGTACCTTGGCTGCGGGTACATCCCCAGTAGGAGGTGTGCAGGAGGCAGCTGATCTGTGTTTCTAACGCTCTATCCCTCTCCCTTCCACTCTGTAAAAAAATCAATAAAATATATATATTTTAAAAAGATTGTCAGTGGGAGGGAGGCCACCGGGAGGAGAGGTGCTGCCCTTGTGTGGGGTCTGTCCTTCCGGTGAGACGGAGGGAAGGAGGGCCGCCCTGACTGGAGCTGGGAGCAGCTCTGGGGCCCCTGGGAGTGTGTGGGTGGGGGGCATGGGGTGGGGCCAGGCATCGAACATTCCAGAGATACTCAGGGGTACAAGGGGCCAGCAGCCGACCTTTCTGCTCCAAAATCAGAAGCAGATGTGGGCGCCTCTGGGAGGTGTAGAGCAGGAACCAGGGCAAGTTTTAGGAACATTAAACATGGAATCTGAAACCAGCAGCGGGGGCGGCCACTCAGGAGCTCAGCCTCCCAGAACAGACTTCATCTGAGTCCTGACCCGCTTCCCACCCACTGGGCGAGGCTAGGGGTGGAGGAGATGGAGAGGAGTCCGTTTCCAGATGGCTGATGGGGGCTTTCCTTAAACCCGAGGCCAGGTTGGGGGCCCCCTCTGGTGACAGCTCTTGGAGTTGGGTGCAATGATGCGCTGGCAAGAGTTTAACAACTGACTTGGTGTGTGTTTGTGTGCGGCCGGCCTGGTGTGTGTTTGCCAATTTCCATAGTGTAAATCAGGGGTCCTCAAACTACAGCCCGCGGGCCACATGCAAATACAAATACTGTATTTGTTCCCGTTTTGTATTTTTACTTCAAAATAAGATATGTGCAGTGTGCATTGGAATTTGTTCATAGTTTTTTTTTTAAACTATAGTCCGGCCCTCCAACGGTCTGAGGGACCGTGAACTGGCCCCCTGTTTAAAAAGTGTGAGGACCCCTGGTGTAAATAATCCCCCGTGCCTGACTTCAAGCTACTTATATGACATCAGGAGCTGGGAGCTGAGCACTGTGGGTCCTCATGGGTCCATCTGAGCGGTGCCAACACACAGAGGTTGGGAGGGGCCGCCTTCAAAGGTCGCCTGGACCCAGCCTACCTCCTTCCATCCCATAGCGCAGGAAGCCTGCCACGACATCAGGGCGGTTGTGGCCTCTGCCTGCATACATCCAGTGACGGGAGCTCACCACCGAGGTTGCTGATTCCATTCCTGAACTGCTTTGACTGTTAGAAAGTTCTTCCTCCAACTGAGCCCAAGTCAGCTTCCCTTGTAACTTGCCCCCATTGGCTCTAGTTTCGAATCTTGGTGTAAATATCCAAGTGCCCCGGGTAGGGCTGGGTTGGGGCTGGAGATTCGGAAAGAAAAGGCACTGGTCCCTGCCTCTAGGCCATGATCAGGAAATAGGCACTGGAACAGTGGTGTGCGTGTGCGTGTGCGTGTGGGGGCGGGGGGTGCCGGGGGCTCCAGAAGGGATGGGTGGGGCAGTCTGCTAGTGAGGGTCGAGGAGCAGAGATGCAAGGGTGGCACTTGGGGCTAGACCTTAAAAGGTGAGAACTCAGGTGCAGAACAGAGGGAGGACGGCTGTGCAGAGGAGGCAGTGTGAGCACGGGGCACCCCCCCCCCCCCCCCCCGTCAGGAACGAGACCTGGGAGCTGGGCCAGGGCGCAGGGGGCAGGGGAGGCAGAGGCAGCAGCCTGTTCCCTTCTGCCACCCTGCTCAGGTCTCCGCAGAGCCTGGGTCCTCGAGGCTGTGGCTGCAGTGCCCCTCGCCGGCCACGTCATGTCGCAGGCCTCTGCAATGTCGCCACCTCTGCGCTCCCTCCTCCTGGCCCTGGGCCTGGGGCTGGCTGGAACCCTCAAGCCCAATGACCCCAATACCTGCAGCTTCTGGGAAAGGTGAGAGGGGCCCCTGCTGTACCTCAAGGGCTCCAAGCCCCCGGCTCCCCATTCTCCCCACTAGGGCCCCTCTTCCCTGACCTCCCGCCCTCCCTCCAGCCTTCACTTCCTGCCTGTTTCTGCTCTGCTCTCTCCTCCCCTCCGTGGCTGCCTCTGACTCTCCCCATCTCTGACCTTGTCTCAATCCCCATCCCAGCTCTGACCCTGTCTGTCCCTCCTTTATCCCAGTCCCTTGGTCTGGGTGGGAGTCTGGCTGCAGGACAGGGCGCAGAGTGGGAGCCATTTTCTGTGCGGGGGGCGGGGTGGGGGTGGAGGGGGTAGCAAGCAGAGAGGCCGGCCAAGGGGGGCATAAAGGACAGGGTTGGGAAACAGGCCTAGGGCAGGATTCAGCCAGAAATGCTGCAACCCACGAGTGGGCGGTAGCTCCATCTCCCTGCATGGAAAGAGGAGGAAGGAAACATTGCCAGCTCTGGTCCTATAGGGTGAGAAGGGGCTCTGATGGGGGAGTGGGGGGTCCCAGGAATATTCTAATTCTGGGAGGATCCCTTCAGATTGGAGGGCAGATGAGAGTTCATTCTAGGTTTGGGGGAGCAAGCCCAAATGTTGGGGTGGTGATTCCTCACTGTGGCCAAACTTCACACCCCTGCTTCTCACGGCCCCTGTGCCAGCTCAGGCCTCTCCTGCCGGGGCCCTGACCCCTTCCTGTCTTGCAGCTTCACCACCACCACCAAGGAGTCCCACTCCCGGCCTTTTAGTCTGCTCCCCTCGGAGACCTGCAGTCGGCCCTGGCAGAGCCCCCACTCCTGCCCTCAGCCCACGTGAGTGCCCTGCCCCCTCCTGGGCCGATGGGCTGCCCCTGCTCCCACACACCCTCATTCTTTTCTCTGGAGGAACCTTTAGAGTTTGGAGGAAGCATCTGGCCTCCGGGCCCTCAGGGGCTGGTGTGGTCTAGCTCTCCCAGCCCAGAGGGTTGGACAGGCCCCAGGCCTCCCACAGTGCTGCTCTGTATGGGGGGCGGGGGCGGGGGGGCCCCTCAGCAGGGAGACTGACGGCCCTTCCGGGCCTCCCCAGGGTTGTCTACAGGACTGTCTACCGCCAGGTGGTGAAGACGGACCACCGGAAGCGCCTGAAGTGCTGCCAGGGCTTCTACGAGAGCCGTGAGGCCTGCGTGCGTGAGTCCTGGGTGGGGCGTGGGATGGGAGGGGCCCAGCCCACCCTTTCTAGGCTTTCCCTGCATCCACCAGGGTAGGGCCACTCCTCTGCCCTTTGGGTGTCCCCCTCCTCCCGCTCACCTGGCGTTGTCCCTAAGGACACAGCTGCTGCCGCTAGCTGACCCCTTTCCCCTCCCTCCTCATGCCCCTCAGCAGTCTGTCCTGCCTCCTGTCTTCCTGTGCTCTCCCTCTGTCTCTGGTCTGCCGGTGTCTCTCACTGTGTCTGTGGGGGTGGGTGGGGTGGGAGGGAGGGTCGTGTCTGCGTCTGTCGCTGTCTCTTCCTGTCTCTGTCTCTCTGTCTCTGACTTGTTGCTGTTCAGTCTCTCCTGTCCCTGCCTCCCACCCCCCAACACCCTGAAAACCCCAGACTGGGGCCTGCTGTGCCTCTCTCTCCTTGCCTCACCTCTGATCATCACCAGCTCCTGCCAAGCCTGACCCACCTGGACCCCAGTCTCTCTCTGGACAGCATCCTGTCTAGTTGCTACCTGAGGACCCTCTCCCGTTTTCTCAAGGAAGGGGCCTCGAGAATTTCCCAGGGAGGCTGGGGAGCCCGGAATCCTTGTTCCTCAGCCTTTCTGGGTGTTGGAGGCAGACATGCTGCTTAGAGAGCCCCGGGCCCTGGTGTGGGAGGGAGATGGGGTCAGACTTCAGAGTGTGAAGGTGGGTGCGGGCAGGCGTGCAAGCCTCTTCCCACTCCCCCGTCTCTGCCCCAGCACTTTGTGTCCAGGAGTGTGTGCATGGCCGCTGTGTGGCCCCCAACCAGTGCCAGTGTGTGCCAGGCTGGCGAGGTGACGACTGCTCCAGTGGTGAGTGGCTGGTGACTGCAGAGCCTCGGGCACACCCTCCTAGCCTGTGCCCGGGCCCCCGGGGCAGTTCCCACCAGACCCCCTTTGGGATGTGCTCTACGCCAGCGGTCGCCAACCTTTCAGACCTCACGGACCACTGGTTGGCGACCGCTGCTCTACGCTGCCTTTTCCGGGGATGTGGTAGAGTTTGGGCCAAGCCAGACATGGCATCTGTGGGGGATGGGAGACAGAGACAGGGATTAACTGGAGGCTGGGGTGGGGGGTGAGACCCCTGGTAACCTCTTCCACCCTCCTCATCTCACAGACTGTCCCCCGGGAGTGTGGGGACCACAGTGTGACAAGCCCTGCAGCTGTGGCAACAGCAGCTCCTGTGACCCCAAGAGTGGGGCATGTTCCTGCCCCTCTGGTCTGCAGCCCCCCCATTGCCTTCAGCCCTGCTCCCCTGGCCGTTATGGCCCTGCCTGCCAGCTCTCCTGCAACTGCCACGGGGCACGCTGTGACCCCCAGACTGGAGCCTGCTTCTGCCCCCCAGAGAGAACGGGGCCCAGGTGCGTGGTGGGGGACAAGCACACTAATGGGGTCACAGGCACAGGACCGCACTGGCACACATGGGCATAGGCGGGAACTCCGACGGGTTCCAAATGTAGGGGTGGCGTCAAGGGGCCGAGATCCTAGTCCCTGCTCTGCCCTCACTGGTTGAGTGACCTTGAGCCAATCATTGACTTTGTGAACTTGATTCCTGTCTGTGCTGTGGCAGCAGCGTTATCCACGTGGGAAGGTTCCTGTGCAGATAACACGAGAGAGCCTGTGTGTGGAAGCGTGTCATAAAGTGGGGCTGAGACAGGGAGCCCTGCGGCAAGGCCAAGTATGGGGGGAGCGGGGAGCCCCCGGAAGGAGAAGGTTCACTGGGTGGGAACCATGACCGGCTGCAGGAAGGAGCTCCAGAGCTGAGGCCCCCACACAGGCAGGGGCTCCCCCAGAAGGAACAGCACACGCCAAGGTGGAGGTGGACCGGTGTCTGGGGCCTCCTGGTGGTGCTGTGTCCCCGCCATTTCCAGTCCTGGAAAGCTTTGCTTTCTGATGCCTGAGTCCCCTACAAGGGGAGCAGCGGGAGGCGGTGCTCACAGAGCCCTGAAGTCAGGCCTTAGGGGCAAAGGGGAGGCGAGTACTGCGTGCTCACACTGACCCACACTGACCTCGCCTGCTCTGCCCGGCAGCTGTGAGGTGTCCTGTCTCCAGGACACTGTTGGCTTCCACTGCCCCAGCACCTCTCCTTGCCACAACGGGGGTGTCTTCGAGGCCTCCCGAGGCTCCTGCAGCTGCCCACCTGGCTGGATGGTATGAAGGGTGGGGCCTGTTGAGTCGGGGTGGGGACCTGGGGACAATCCTGCAGGAGGGTCTGATAGGGCTCGAAGGAGGGTATACGTCAGCGGTTCTCAACCTGGGGGTCGCAACTCTTTCACAGGGGTTGCCTAAGACCATTGGAAAACACATATATAATTACATATTGTTTTTGTGATTAATCGCTATGCTTTAATTATGTTCAATTGGTAACAATGAAATTGGGGGTCACCACAACATGAGGAACTGTATTAAAGGGTCGCGGCGTTAGGAAGGTTGAGAACCGCTGGTCTACGTGAAGTGGGTGGCTTGTGGGCCCTGGAGGGGTTTGAGGGCTCCTGGTGTGGGAGTATTCAAGGGTCCCGGAACCAGCGGAAAGGTGCCAGGGAATCTGTCAACCTCTCGCTCCACAGGGCGCCATCTGCACCCTGCCCTGCGCCCAGGGCTTCCATGGACCCAACTGCTCCCAGGAATGTCGCTGTCACAACGGTGGCCTCTGCAACCCGTTGACTGGGCAGTGCAGCTGCGCTCCTGGCTACATGGGGGAGCGGTGAGTGGCGTTGTGAGGGCGGGGGCGGTGGGGATGGGCCAGGAGAGTGGGCGTGGCCAGGCTCACTCAGCTGGGCGCCCAGGTGCCAAGAGGAGTGCCCGGTGGGCCACTTCGGACAGGACTGTGTGGAGACGTGCGACTGCGCCCCCGGGGCCCGCTGCTTCCCCAACGGCGCGTGTCTGTGCGAACACGGCTTCACCGGGGACCGCTGCACCGAGCGCCTCTGCCCCGACGGCTTCTATGGCCTCAGCTGTCAGATGCCCTGCACCTGCGACCCAGAGCACAGCCTCAGGTGGGCCTGGGGCCTCGGCCAGGGACTCAGGAGGCCCGCGGGAGAGGACTTGGGTGCTGACGCCACCTGAGTCGTGTCCGGGGCATAACCAAGGGCGGGATGGATGTCACCGAAGGGAAAAGCGGGTAGCGGGGCGCTCTGGGAACAGCGCCGAGCCTTCCTTATGGCCCCCTCCCTTGGCAACGTGGGCTGTCCCCCCCAAAGGGGTCTGGGTTGGCCCGAGGCCCCGGCTCAGAGCGCAGCGCCTGCCTCGCCCGCAGCTGCCACCCGATGAGCGGGGAGTGCTCGTGCCAGCCGGGCTGGGCCGGCCTTCACTGCAACGAGAGCTGCCCGCTGGACACGCACGGGCCCGGCTGCCGGGAGCATTGCCTCTGCCTGCACGGCGGCCTCTGCCTGCCCGACAGCGGCCTCTGCCGGTGCGCGCCCGGCTACACGGTGAGGCGCGCCCCGCGGCCGGGACGCGGGTGAGGCGGGGCGGGAGGAGCGGAGGGGCCGCCGCTCACTAGTGCGCCCGCTGCCTGCAGGGCCGGCACTGCGCTAGCCTCTGTCCGCCCGACACTTACGGACTCAACTGCTCCTCTCGCTGCTCCTGCGAGAATGCCATCGCCTGCTCCCCTATCGACGGCGCCTGCATCTGCAAGGAAGGTAATGGGGTGCGTCCGGGAGGGGCGGTTTGGGGGCGGGGCCCCGGAGAGAAGGGAGGTGGCACGGTCAGGGCGGAGCTGCTGGGCAGCAGCTGGACCGTGGGAAAGCAGCCAGGCTACTTCCTTCCTGGAATCTCCACTTTGCTTTTTCTTCAGCTGCAGGAATCCCACTCCTCCTTAAAGGCCCAGTCCAGGAGGCCCCTCTTTGGTGAACCGTGTTCACCCTCAGCGATACATAACCAGGGCCTCCGGGATCTCCCAGGGGTGCAGGGTGGCAGTCTGCAGGCTGGGTTCTGACACAGGCGTGTTTTGTTTGGCTAGCTCTCTATTACTAGTATGTTTAACAAACCTCCAGTCTCCAGTTCCCACTCTTCCCTATAGTCTTGCACATGGTCGGGATAATTCGTTTAGTTACCTGTTGGGGCCTCTGTAAGCACTGGGTTTGCTGCCAACCCCCTTCATTTTGCAGAAGAGGCATCCAAGACCCAGAATGGGGTGGTGCGTGGCTGGCGGTCATTTAGCCTTTTGTTCCACATCTAACAGTTTATATGCTTGTCTCTTTTTAAAAAAATATATATTTCTTTATTGATTTCAGAGAGGAAGGGAGAGGGAGAGAGAGATAGAAACATCAGTGATGAGAGAGAATCATTGATTGGCTGCCTCCTGCACTCCCCGCATTGGGGATCAAGCCCGCAACCCAGGCATGTGCCCTTGGCCAAAATCGAACCTGGGACCCTTCAATCCGCAGGCTGACACTCTATCCACTGAGCCAAGCCGGCCAGGGCTATGCTCGTCTCTTGTAAGGGACCATGAGCACCCCCACTTCACCCCCAACTCATAGCACGGAGCCTGGCACAGTCAGTGCTTAGTGTGCGCTCACCCGGGAGGGGAGCTGGGTCCCCCTGCCTACCTGCCCACCTCCCTTCTAGGTTGGCAGCGTGGTAACTGCTCTGTGCCCTGCCCACCTGGAACCTGGGGATTCGGTTGTAATGCCAGCTGCCAGTGTGCCCACGAGGCAGCCTGCAGCCCCCAGACTGGAGCCTGTACCTGCACCCCTGGGTGGCACGGGGTCCACTGCCAGCTCCCCTGTCCAGTAAGTGCCCAACCGCCTGCCTGCCTGGGGGGAGGGAGGGCATGGCATCCCTCAGCTGACTCGTCTGCCCTATTCTCCACTCCCTCTCCAAGAAGGGGAAGTTTGGTGAAGGCTGTGCCCATCGCTGTGACTGTGACCACTCTGATGGCTGTGACCCTGTTCATGGACACTGCCAGTGCCAGGCTGGCTGGACAGGTGAGCATTCAGGCCCCAGGCCCCCTGTGGAGTTGGGGGTATATACCCCAGGAAATGTGTCCAGAAGAACCCTTATGGGAGGGGTGGGGCAGGCCAGGCTCACCCTATTCCTCTCTCCTACAGGTACCCGCTGCCACCTGCCCTGTCCTGAGGGCTTCTGGGGAGCCAACTGTAGCAACACCTGCACCTGCAAGAATGGGGGCACCTGCCTCCCCGAGAATGGCAACTGTGTGTGTGTGCCTGGATTCCGGGGTCCCTCCTGCCAGAGACGTGAGGCTCCCTCCCTTCCTCCCACCTGTCAGCGTGTGGCGCAGTGTAGTGTCAGAACCTTCTACTCTGCCCGTCTTGTTTTCTTCCACTGATTCCAATCTTTGGGCCAGTGGGCAGGAGGGAGGGAGATAGTGGCATCAAGGGCTGTTTGCCCCCAGTCACCAGGAGCCCTTTTCCCCCAGCCTGCCAGCCTGGCCGCTATGGCAAACGCTGTGTGCCCTGCAAGTGTGCTAACCACTCCTCCTGCCACCCCTCCAATGGAACCTGCTACTGCCTGGCTGGCTGGACTGGCTCAGACTGTTCTCAACGTACGTGGTGGCTTGTGTGTCTGAGAGCATGTGTGTGCCAGAGGGTGGGCTGAGAACCAGCGGCTTCTGTTCTCCCGCTCCTGGGTAGAAAAGCCTCTGGACCTGCCTTGATTCAGTTAGTTATATAAACAACATACACAAAAACTTCCTGAGCACTGCCTCCCTTCTGGGTGCTGCGGATGCAGCAAGGAACAGCCAGGAGAAACAACTCCCTGCCCTTCTCCATGGGAGACCCAGGAAGGGCAGTACAGGGAAGGGGGTGAGGGAAGCCATAAGTTCGTTTATTTATGGCTTCTTTCTCACATAAATATATGAAGAACATCATGGAAAAGATTAATGCAAAACAACCAAGTGAAATAGATTTTGAGAATGGAAATGAGAGGCTATTACTATGAAACAGGCTGGATGGAAGCTCATTGTCAGGCCAGGTAGAGAAAAGTCATCCTGGTGAGGAGTTTTGCCATAGAATTCAGGAGTAACTACTATCAGATTATTTGCTAGCAGCAGATACACAAAAATTATACCTTAAATAGCGTGAACATTTACTTCTGTCACGTTTTAAAAAAACATTTTTTTAAGTGTAGAGCTACACAGCGCAGGGCAGTTTGGACGGCTCTGGCCGCCTGGCCCTGCCTCGCTGTTCGGAATGGCCTTTGGACAGCCAAGTGCAGGCGTTAAGTAGGCAGCTGGGCACATGGGTCTGCCGGTCCGCGTTTGTGAGTCATCCGAGTGTAGATACTCTCCAAAGCCTTGGTGTCCCTGGGGAGAGAGACCAGCGCTGCGGGGAAGATTTCAGTGTTGTTGGGGCCCAGGATTCATCTGGTGAGTGCGGAGGAGGGCTGGGCTGGCACACCAGGCAGGCGCACCTTGTCTCCGCAGCATGCCCTCCAGGACGCTGGGGAGACAGCTGCGCCCAGCCCTGCCAGTGTCACCATGGCGGGACCTGCCACCCCCAGGATGGAAGCTGTTTTTGCCCCCCAGGCTGGACCGGACACCTCTGCTTGGAAGGTACCAACAGAAGCTGAGCTCCATGCCCCTGCGCCCAAGTCAGCCCTAGCCCTGTGTCCTGGCAACCTCTGATCCCCGCCTACCTCCCTGGCTCTCTCCCAGGCTGTTCTCCAGGGATGTTTGGTGCCAATTGCTCCCAACCATGCCAGTGTGGTTTTGGAGAGAGGTGCCACCCAGAGACCGGGGCCTGTGTGTGTCCTCCAGGGCACAGTGGTGCCCCCTGCAGGATTGGTGAGTTCTCCTCTAGGCCTTTCATATCCCCAGGGAACGAGGATCTGGCACCTGCTTGGGTCTCTGCCAAGATCTTGGCCCCTCACCTAGAAGTCTCTCCCATGCATGTCCCCCAAGCTCACCAGCAGAGCCAAGACGCTGTTCTGAATGACTGCCCTACCCACTAGGAAGCCAGGAACCCTTCACCATGATGCCTACCTTTCCAGTGCCCTATAACTCACTGGGGGCCGTGATTGGCATCGCAGTGCTGGGGTCCCTGGTCGTGGCCCTGGTGGCATTGTTCATCGGCTACCGCCGTTGGCAAAAAGGCAAGCAGCACCAACACCTGGCAGTGGCGTACAGCAGCGGGCGACTGGACGGCTCTGAGTACGTCATGCCAGGTGAGCGTGCCGGGGGCAGGGGACACATCCCAGTGGCTGGCTCATAGGCCCGGGGCTCCTGGGTCTCTCCCTGGACCTGGAAGATGGGAAGTGAGGAGTGGGAGGGAGGAAGGGAAGTCAGAGGGGCTGATGACTGATCTCCGGGGTCAGAATAGCATTCCTGGGCCCAGGCCTGTCTCTGACTGGGGGTCACCCTGCGCCTGTGTCTGTTCTTGCAGATATCCCTCTGAGCTACAGTCACTACTACTCAAACCCCAGCTACCACACCCTATCCCAGTGCTCACCTAACCCTCCACCCCCTAACAAGGTCAGTGCTGGGGAGGGCGCGCTGGGGAGAGATGGTAAACACCTGCTTCTCTGGAAAGCTCCATCCTTGCTCCTCCCCCGTCAGGTTCCCGGCAATCAGCTCTTTGCCAGCCTCCAGGCCCCTGAGCGGCCAGGTGGGGCCCATGGGCCTGACAACCATACCACGCTGCCTGCGGACTGGAAGCACCTGGACAGGGGTAGGGGCCTAGAGGCCAGGCCTCCGGTGAGGGCGGGTGTGTGCAGCCCAGCGTCTTGCTCCGTCTGAGTGTGCGGATCTGCAGAAGGGGCTTCTGGGCACCAGGGTTAGAGGAGACGGAGCCCAGGAGTTTGATGGCGGGTGGCCTCCTCCTCCTCCTCCTCAGGTAGCAGCCGCTTGGACCGAAGCTACAGCTGTAGCTACGGCAACAGTAATGGCCCAGGCCCATTCTACGGTAAAGGTATGAGCACAGGGGCAGGGGTGGGGGGTGGGAGGGTTGCACTGGGGTTTGTTTAGGAGCCAGTGCCTCCCCTGAGCCTGAATGCTTTCCCCCATCCTCAGGACCCATCTCTGAAGACGGGCTGGGGGCCAGTATGGCTTCCCTGAGCAGTGAGAACCCCTACGCCACCATCCGGGACCTGCCCAGCCTGCTAGGGGGCCCCCGGGAGAGCAGCTATGTGGAAATGAAAGGCCCCCCCTCAGGATCTCCCCACAGGCAGCCTCCTCAGCTCCCGGCCAGCCAGAGGCCGCGATACCCCCAGCCACAGCCGCAGCCGCAGCCGCAGAGAGACAGTGGTACCTATGAGCAGCCTAGTGTTCTGCCCCATGGTGAGCCTCCTTCTCCGCGGGGGCAGGGGCTGGAGAGGTGGAAGGGAGAAGGGACAGGGAGGGAGAAAGGGACAGAGGAAGAGAATGTGGAGGTGGCATGCTGTGGCAGCAAGAGCAAGGCCTTGGGGGTCTGACTGGGGCCCAGGCCAGGCATGCTGTTGGGGATCACGGTGCCGCGGAGAGCCTGAGCGGTGGACCCCACCTCACAGGGCTGAGGATTGAAATGGAGGTTGTGTAGCACCTGGCTTGTGGAGTCGGTCCCCAGACAAGTGGGGAACCAGGCAGGGGGTGAGCAAGGGGGCTGCACGGGCAGGTGTCCAAGTGTCCTCATAGCCTGTGAGGTGGGCAGATCAAGGTGGCCTCCCCGGCTGGCAGCTGGGAAGCTGCACAAAGTGCCCTATAGCCAGGCACCAGCTCTGTTTGGGCAGAAGCGTCTGGAGAGGGGAGAGGAGGAGAAGGGGAGGAGCCACCTCCTCCTCATTCTGTCCCTTCTCTGTCTCCAGACCCAGACTCCGTGGGCTCCCAGCACCCCCAGCCTCTGGGCCCGACCCCCGGCCACTATGACTCGCCCAAGAACAGCCACATCCCTGGACACTATGACTTGCCTCCTGTACGGCACCCCCCATCCCCCCCACTTTAGCACCGGGACCCCTGAGGGGCCAAGATGGTGTGCAGAGGCCAGCACACCTGTTCTTGCTGCCCAAGGCTGGGGACAGAGCCGGCTGAACCCTGCCAGGAGCAGGGAGAGGTCTGGCAGGCCGTGAACATGAACATGTTTATGAACAAGTTTAATAGAGGAAGTGAACGGAGAGATGGGAGCCTGGCTCCCGCCTCCACACTGGGACCCTGGTTGGCAGGAAGCCTGCAGTCCCTTTCCCCAACCCACTGCCCATCAAGGCTGCCAGGGCCTGTGTACATAAACTGGTGGGTTGGACATTGCTGGATAACTCTGATTTCATATTGATGTAAAAAAATGTATATTGAGCACCTTTTCTCTGCACTCCCAGGCTGGGCTCTGTGTGTGTGCTGGTATGTGTGTATATGTGAGCTTCTGCGTGTGTGTGTGTGTGTGTGTGTTTTCAGAGGGGTACCAGGGATAGGCCCTCTCCTATGGCTCTCACCATTTAGCAGAGAGGCAGCCCCAAGCCAGTTCACTGGCTGCCTGCATTCACTTAGTACTCCTTCCAGCCAACTGCTCCAAATACAAGCTGATTGGGTGGCCGCTGTCTGAGAGTCTTCATGCTGCCCCATTGTTCCTGGCCAGAGTCAGACTGTCAAAGGCCTTAAGCCAGTGGTTCTCAACCTTCTGGCCCTTTGAATACAGTTCCTCGCGTTGTGACCCAACCATACAATTATTTTCGTTGCTACTTCATAACTGTCATGTTGCTACTGTGATGAATCGTCATGTAAATATCTGATATGCAGGATGGTCTTAGGCGACCCCTGTGAAAGGGTCCTTCGACCGCCAAAGGGGTGGCAACCCACAGGTTGAGAACCGCTGTCTTAAGCAAAGGCTCTGCTGGCCTCCTGCTGTGCCTTCAGCCTCACCCTGAACTGTGTTCGCTGTCACTCTGCCTCAGTAACTCTGGCTTCTAGGTCCTCCTGTCGGCCACACTTCTTGCTGCCACAGGGACCTCACACGTCTGGCATGCTCTTCTCCCCCACTCACCTGTTAGCCTCCATTTGTCCTTCACACCCCCTCCTCTGGGAAGCACCTCTCTCATAGCGCTAATGACAGCTGCATGCATTCCCCCGATGCCTGCAGAAGGCCTGCAGGGCACCAGGCACCTCTGTAATGTGTTGTTTCTTTATGTGATTCTTTGATGAATTTCTGCTTCTCCCACCAGTCTGTAAGTTCCCTGTGTTTATGTTCGACATTGGTTCCCCTTGGCACACAGTAGGCACTCAATAAATGTTCCCTAAAAGACGGAGTGGCTGAGTGAATTCAAAGTATCAGTCACATTGTGGTAAGTGCTCAGATAGAGGGAAGATGGCACATCCTGAGAGTTAGTAGACTGCACAGGTGGGAGCCTTCCCCAAAGACGGGCACTTCTCCAGGGGAGCTGCATCCAGGCTGAAAGGTGGGAAGGGCTGGGAGTGGCCCTGGGACAGCGGAACTGATGGGGTGGGAGAGGCTGGAGGCAGGAAGGCGGATGGGAGAGGATATACTCAAACGAGGGTCCAGCAGGGTCTGGACTGCCTGAGCACTTAGAATTCAAGATTTCTAAAAAGCATTACCAGACGCATTAACTCATCAGCAGATCAGCTAAGTTCCCAGACCCAGAGGAGGCCAAATAGGTGCTGCGGAGAAAGGAACCCAGCTCCACACCAGCTCACCGGGGGTCTCTCTGGGCCTTTTCCACCAGGAGCCCCTCCCTACCGGCTAGGAGGGCAGGCAGACCCAGAGAGCGGATCTGCCCCACCCCGACTCTCCCCAGATTCCTCAGACACCCCATTCCTGATAGGCTGAACCAGCTCCCGCTTTCTCGGGCTCAGTTTCCTGGGGGACTTTGGGTGGTTGGACGCCCGTCGGCCTTCGCCCCCACCCTTCGTTCTGGCCTCGTCTAGCCCTGTCCCCTCCGCCCCGGCTCTGCCTGGGTCGTGGGGGAACCCAGGCTCGCTCCCTCCCCAAACGGTTCTCAGGGCCGGACCCTCTAGGGCTCACCTGCCCCCTGGATCTCTGCCGCCCAAGTCCTGCCGCTCCCCCCGCCCCGCCCCCCGCCCCGCCGCCGCACCCCCACCTTCGGCTCCGCCCCTCCCTGTGTGAGTCGGCGGCGCCCCCTGGCGGCCGCGTGCCGCGCGCGCTCTGCGGTTGCCCCCTCTCCGCGGCAGCCCAGCCGGGTTGGCGTCGTTGCCGTGGAGAGGGACGCGGAAGCTACGCCGCGGCCCCTGCGGACACACCAGGCTGGTGGATGCGGAATAGAGACCCCCAAACCGGCGTGTCCACACCTGCTTCCTCGCCCCCGGGAGGGTCCCCAGAGTCGCTGCGGACGGCACCGACATGTCTGTCGAGGGGGGCGCGCAGGGAGCCTCCCCCAGGGCCCCGCGTCCCGGGATCCAGAAGTCGTCGGGCACGGTGACCAAGAAGGGGGATCGCGCGGCCAAGGAGAAGCCTCCGATCGTGCTGCTGCCGGTGGGCGAGGAGGAGCCCAAAAACCCTGGTAGGCTGGCGGCGGCGTTGGGGGGTCCGGCCTCGAGGCCTCGAGGCTCTGTGTGCCACCACCAGCCTCTGCGGCTCCCATTAGCCAGGCTGGATGGCGCGCTGCTGTGCCAGGCACTGACCTGGAGTGCTGGGCGGGTGAGGCAGGTGATCCAGGAAATAATAATAGAATTTCTGGTGCCAAGAGGTGCTGTAGGGAAAGGGCTCCACCGGCTGAAGTTCAGTGTGTGACTGTACCAGCTCCTGGCACATGCAGGAGTGTTATTCGTGGTCACCATCGTTAAGTGTGTGGCCGTGGGCACGGTTCTTCCCTGCCGTATGGAAATGTGAGTCATGCCCTGCCCATTGAGTGAGGAACAAGGAGCTGATGGTGAAAACGTGTTTTATCGACGGCAAACTCATCTGTTCATTCAACAAGCATGCATTGCACACCCACTGTGTGCCAAGCTCGCTGCTCCATCTTGGACTATGAATCCCAGTTTGGCTCACATCACAGTCCTTGAATCTCAGCTTGGCCGACGTTTGAACTGAATTGATCTTAAAGAAACTGCACTCTGCGATGCTGACAAAGACAATAAGATGTGATATGATGTATGAGAAAAGAAGGACCAGGGAGGATAGGAGGACCGGGGGGCTGGGGAGGGCTACCAGAAGGTGCCTGCTCTTCAGCCAGATGCAACACAAAAAGAAAGATGGGCACAGTCCTGTGTGCATGGAATTTACATTCTCTGTGGTAAGAAAATCACGAGAAAAGTCTAGGTAGGAGTGTGGCTCTGTGTGTTGCAAGTGGTAGAACCCCAGCCTAAGCTAGTGATCCACAAAGGAGGGTTTATTGGAAGGTGTCTTGATTCACAGCCACAGCTTTGCCACCCGAGAGGGGCAGGAACTTGCTGTTCCTGGACTCCCCAAGCAACGATGAGAGCTGGAGAAAGAGCATTTTCCAGGAGAGATAGGACAAACCCCAGTGCCATTAAACACCCCCCCCCCCCACTCTGTATGGAAAATGGAGTGGAAGGGGAGAGAACAGAGGCAAGGAGATGGGTTATGAGATATTTCAAGAGTCCAGGTGAGAGACAGTGGTGGTTGGAATGGGGTATGAGGGAGAAGGGGTTAGGCTCCTGGGAGAACTACTTCGGAGGCAGAAATAATAAGAATTGGTGTACTGGATGGGGTGGAGAGAAAGGAACATAGCAAGAATGATTCCCAGGTTTCTGGATTGAGGAGGCAGATGGAGATAGGAAAGCCCGAAGGAAGAGTATCTGAGGGAGGACCCAATATCAGAGATCTTTAAAAAAAAAAAAATATATATATATATATATTTATTGATTTTTTTACAGAGAGGAAGGGAGAGGGATAGAGAGTTAGAAACACCGATGAGAGAGAAACATTGATCAGCTGCCTCCTGCACACCTCCCACTGGGATGTGCCCCGCAATCCAGGTACATGCCCTTGACTGGAACCGAACCCGGGACCCCCCAGTCCGCAGGCCGACGCTCTGTCCACTGAGCCAAACCAGCCAGGGCAATATTAGAGATCTTAAAGGGGGAGGAGCTGGCAGGTTCTCCCATTTGCCAGGGGCCCCCCTCCCATCTCCGGGAACCACTTCTTCCTGGAGCAGGAAAAAGCAGGGTCCCTGGGGACGCAGCGCCTCACTCAGGTTTGAGTAGTGGGATGCGGTGGGCATCTGTCTGAATGACTTAATATTTCTAAAGCTTTTGAACAGCGCGGGAGAGGAGTAAGTGCCGTACAAATGTTTGCTAAATACATAGAAGCCCGCGGCTCTGCTGGACCGCGGGGTCTGTGGGTTGGGAGGGGAGTGAAGACGTAGTTCCTTCTTTTTCCCCATCAGGCCTGGCTGGGCTGGGGACACCCTGGGGAGGCCCCCCAGGGAGCTGGGAGCCAGTGGAAGCGCCTGACTGACTGGGTGGGAGGAGAAGCCAGCACATTTCCACTCCCTATCGTCCTTTCTCCCACGTCTTCATTTCCCGCTGTTTTCAGCGTGGGGCTGACATTTTAAAATGCCTGTAAGACCATCCACCTCAGGGGGGGCCTACCCACCCTGACGCCAAGCCGGCTGCCCTCCCTCCCGCAGAGGAGTACCAGTGCACCGGGTCCCTGGAGACCGACTTCGCGGAGCTCTGCACCCGCCTGGGCTACTCGGACTTCCCCAAAGTGGTCACCCGGCCCCGGCCGCACCCGGCCTTCCTCCCTTCCTCCTCTGTGTCCGAAAAGCCCATCATCGGTGAGTGACAGTGGAGCTGGGGTGCCCGCCCGGCCACCTCACCCATCCCCAGCCTCCCATTGCGCGGACGGCTGAATGGTGGGGGGCGCAGGGCAGGGTGGGTGTAAGTGGGTGGGGGGTGGCTTCAGGGGGCAGGTGGGAGTGTAGGGGAGTCTCCCTCCAAACCCCGCAGACCCCAGCCTGGCCCCAGCAGCGGCTGCCCGGCCAGCATCTCCCAAACCTTCCTTCCCGCCCCGCCCCTCACTGTCTCCTGGCACCTCTCCCTGCTAGACGACCAGCGCCTGTCAGGTTCCTGCAGCCTCAACAGCGTGGAGAGCAAGTACGTGTTCTTCCGGCCCACAATCCAGGTGGAACTGGAGCCCGAGGACAAGACTGTGAAGGAAATCTACATCCGAGGTGGGCCCCGCCCCCACCGCCCTCCCAGCCCCCACCAGCCCCTCCCCGAGGCCGAGGCACCTTCTCTCTCTCCCTTCCTAGGCTGGAAGGTTGAGGAGCGGATCCTGGGCATCTTCGCTAAATGCCTGCCCCCCCTCAGCCAGCTGCAGGCTATCAAGTGAGGGGACATGGGGGGGGAGGGAGGGGCAATGTGGGGGACGGGACGGCTCAGGGGAGAGAACTGAAGAGACGGAAGATCCTGGGGAGGTTGGGTGGGGAGGCGGGGGGGGGGGGGCGGGGGGGGGTGAGGAGGGTGTGGCGGGGAGGACGTGTGGGCAGGAGGCCATGTTCCAGCTGTGCTCCTGGCCGTCCACCGACAGCTTTTGGAAGGTGGGGCTGACGGATAAGACCCTGGCCACGTTCATCGCCCTGCTGCCTCTCTGCTCATCCACACTCAGGTCAGAGGGGAACGGCCGGCGGGGAGGCCCAGGGCCTGGCAGCCAGGCCCATTGGTGGTCAGAGGGAGCCGTTTGGGGAGGGGAGTGACAAGTCCCAGCTGCTCTGGGCCTGGGCTGGCGTCCCTGTGGAAGAGCGTGCAGCTGATAGCCGTTGAGTTTTGAAGCTCCCATCTGACTAGAGCAGAGTCCCTTTTCTGCCTCTACCAGCGCCTGAAGAGCCTGGCCTTCGGGGCCTCAGCCTCTCCTCTCCATCAGCCCTACCACCACTCTCTCCCCGGGGGGTTCCCCCCCCCCACCCCCATGCCTGGGGCCTGACGCTGTACTAATTGCTGGTTCTCGCCCTCCCGGACCTGGCAGTCCAGGGAGGGAGGGGGAAGGATGTAGGAACAGATGCTGCAGGGCAGCCTGGGGACTGGGGGTGAAAGAGCGGTTCATGGGGAGAGGGAGCGGGAGCAGAGAGGTAGTGCTACCCCATGGGAGGAAATTTTTAAATAGAGACATTTCTAGCCATTAGTTCAATTTGTGTTGTGACTGGGAAAAGGCCTCCGTCCTCTCAGCACCGTCGAGAAGCAGTGCCTGTGGATAGGACATACGTTATTGGTTATTGCTGTGGAACAGATCGCCTCTGGGTTTAGGGCGTAAAACAACAGACCTCTCACAGTCTCTGTGAAATGGATCGGGATGCAGGTCAGTGGGTGCTGCTGGCTCAGGGTGTTCGTGAGGTTGCAGTAAAGCTGTGGGCTGGGGCTGCAGTCATCGCACCTGGGTTTGGAGCATCTGCTTCCGAGATCACTCAGTGGCTGTTGATAGGTTGCGGCGTGTCCACACCTGAGTCCCTCATAGGCCGTCTGAGTGTGCTCACCACCTGGCAGCTCGCGGGGACCCAGAGGGTGCCAGAGGGCACCCAAGGTGGAAGCCACGGTCTTTTTGTAGGCTGACCTTGGAAGTGACATCCCATCACTTCTGCCACATCCCATTCACCAGGTGTGAGTCACTAGGTCCAGCCACACTCCAGGGAAGGGGTTACACAGGGCATAGACACTAGGAAGTGGGGGTCCTCGGGGTCATTCCAGAGGCCACCCCACCATAGGTTGCTAATTCTGGGGAGTGGGCCTTTCCCATGGCCACACTTCTGGATTTTTAGTCTGGAGGATTAAATATAATTTAGTTCTCATGTAATTTCCTCTTTTGGGATCCATCCTTTAACTCTGTCTTCAAGCTGCTCCTCAGAGCCCCACACTTCCTCTGTCCCTTCCTTCACTGGCCTCAGGGGTGCCCCCTGGTTCTCAGACCAGCCCCACCCTCAGGAAGGTGTCTCTGGAGGGGAACCCACTGCCCGAGCAGTCCTATCACAAGCTCATGGGACTGGACAGCACGTGAGTCTCCTTCCCACCACCCCTTCACTGGGCCTGCCCCCATTGCAAGCCAGCCTAGTCCCCACCCATCCTTGCCCCTCCTGCGCCTCCCCAGCCACCCTCAATTCCTGCCCCGCAGACTTCAGACCCCATGACCCTCCTCATGCCCCCAGGCCCCGGCGTTTCCAGTGACCGGTCCCCTTCCTCTGCCCAGGATCATGCACTTGTCTCTGCGGAACAACAACATCGATGACTATGGGGCGCAGCTCCTGGGCCAGGCCCTGTCCACGCTGCACACCTGCAACCGGACCCTGGTCTCGCTCAACCTGGGCTTCAACCACATCGGGGACGAGGGCGCCGGCTACATCGCGGATGTGCGTGCACAGGAGGGAGGGACCCCCTGAGCCGGCGGTCTGTGGGCTCACACCCCTCCCCACCCTCAGGGCCTCCGGCTGAACCGCTCTCTGCTCTGGCTGTCCCTGGCCCACAACCGCATTCAGGACAAAGGCGCCCTGAAGCTGGCCGAGGTGGGTGTGCCGTGTGCCGGCTGGGCGGGCTGGAGGAGGGGATGGGGCTCACAGGGTCTGACAGCTGTGCCTCGGCCCAGGTCCTGCAGCCCTTCGAGCTGACACACACCGAGGTGGTGGAGCGCCGGCGCCTCCTGCTGGGAAAGGGGACCCAGGAGCACTTGCGGTCGGTGAGCTGCGCCTCAGCCTCTTCCTTGGCCAGCTGTTTCTCAGCAAGCTGGCCCTGTCCCAGCTCGTCTTCTGTCCTAGCTCGTCTTCTGTCCTGACTGTCCCCCTGCCCAGCTTCTGCACTGGCCTCACAAACGTTCGGGCTGTCACTGCAGAATCCCTCCTTGGGCAGAATGTGTTGGTTAAAAGAAAGGAGAAGCCCTGGCCAGTGTGGCTCAGTTGGTTGGAGCATCTTCCCATACACCTAAAGGTCATGGGCTCGATTCCCGGTCGTGGTGGGTGCAGTAGGGAGCTGATGGATGCTTCTCTCACATCGATGTTTCTTTCGCTCCCTTCCTCTCTCTCAAATCAATAAAAAACATATCCTCGGGTGAGGATTTTTTTTAATTAAAAAAAGAAAGAGTAGATTTAGACTGCTCGAACTTGAAATCCCGTGTGACCTTGGCATGTTACTCACAGGATCGTCGAGAGGATTAAATGTGTGTAAAACACAGGGAACAATGTGAGAGTCTGAGCCCCTGCCCCCACCCCCACCCCAGGGTCCCTCTGCCATTTCTCCCCAACAGCACCACCCTCCCCAGAAGTCCCAGCACTATTTTAGCCTTTAGGCAGGCAGCTGGGGCGGGGAGGGGGGTGCTGCCGGTTGGACCGCCACCCAGGAACAAGGCTTCCCCCTCCCCTTGCTGGGGAAGGCACACTGGTCTCTGCCTCCGTTCCCTCCTGTTTGTGGGCACAGCCTTCCTCGTCTCGACACGGGGAATCCAAAGCAGAACGGGAGAGGAATCTGCTGGTGGGAGTCAGCAGTGTCGCGCTGATAGACAAGGCGGACAAGACGCAGACAGCAAAGACCCTGAAGGGCCTGGTCAAGAAAAAGGAGAAGGCAGGGGTAGGTGTGCTGTGGGCAGGAGGGCCTTGGGCAATCTTGAGAGCAGCAGCGAGGAAACCTCATGGGACACAGGGGGAGCGGGAGGCAAGAAGGCTTCAGGCCCAGGGGTCCCACACTGGCCTCCTCCCAGCCGGCTCCCCACCCCCTCAGGAGGGAGGACTTTAATTTGTCTTCTTACATCCTTCACAGGAAGTGGTGAAGAAAGAGGAGAAGTCGGGGTCTGGGCAGTCACCCATACAAGGAAACCTAAAGAAGGAAGACGCCGCCAAGACAAGCAAGGGGAGTAAGTGCTGGTGCCCCTCTGGGACTGGTACCCCTTCTTGGTGTGGAGGAAGGAGCAGGGGGCAGTGTGCAGGAGGCACGCGCTGGTCTCCTGGGCACATCCCTTTCTAGTCCGTTTCCTTCCAGTCCCTTATCCTGACCACTGCAGCTCGCTTCCCTGGGCCTGACCCCGTGGCCTTGCCCTGAGAAGAGGACCCCCTCCAGCTGGGGTCCCCTCAAACTCCGCTTCTGTTGCACCCAAACCCAGTTTGAGGAGTCGCCTCCCTGGCCCAGCCCTTCTCTCTGGGGACTCTGGGTGGTAACAGGTCTGCACTGTGCGTTCTGACCCTCTTCCTGCCCCAGAGGTGACCATCCCCGAGCAGAAGCCAAGCAGGGGGAAAGGGCAGAAGACTGGGAGCAAGGAGAAGCGCAGCATCCTCCTGGAGTCAGAGGTGGGCTCCGGGCGGGGGTGTGGTGGGGGTGGGGGTGGCGCGTCCTATACTGTGGCAGCGGCCACTTCCACATGACACCCCCCCGTCCCAGCCTGGGCTTGCGGGGGGACAACAGGATGCCCCTCCCTTCAGGCTTGAGGAGCCCCCTCCCCCGCTTTTTCCTAGCTCATTAGGAGCTCACACTTTTGATCCTGTCTCACCTCAGTTTGCTTCCCAAAAGGCCACTGACTGACAATCACCACCTCCACGTTCGCTGGGACAGCTGCCCTGGGCACAGGGCGTCTATAGTCGTGCTGTTGCCCTACTGTGCGTGAGGCTCCTCAGACCCTCCTTGCCCTGGAGTCTCCCTTTCCCACCCACTAGGACCAATTTGTTCCTTGCTTCCCAGACGGTCACCCATAGCTCCCTCCTGCCAGCCGTCCTCTCCGAGAGGTTGTCTCTGGCCATCAGGAGACCTTCCCTCTTAGGAGATCTCTCTGGCATCTGAGACAAGACCTTGCAAAAGAGGATGGTCAGGTAGAGAAGGGGGTGAGGTGCCTCGCACTCCGTTGTCCCGTCTTGTCCAGGCTGCTGTTTCTCCCCAGGACTATGGCGCTTTCTTCTCATCCTCTCTTCACCAGTCCCTCCCATCACTGCCCTTGGCATGCTAGCCCTTAGGAAACGGGAAAACCCGTGTGCCATGTACTGTTTCAGGCCTTTACCACCTGCTTTGTTTGCCTGGAACACCTTTCTTCCCATCTTCATCTGGTATCTACTGGGTACCATTCAGACTTCAGCTCACAGGCCACTTCTGCTGGAGACCGGGCTAGTGCCCCTCCTCGGTGCTCCTGCAGTACCCTGCGCTGACCTCTGCCACTTGTCACGCACACATACCATATATCATTTCACTTTCTGCCTCCCACACCCCGTTGCTTCTTGAGGATATGGGCATATTTATTTCTGTATCCCCAGCACCTAGGACAGAGCCTGGACTATAGCCAGCCCTCAAAACATGTATGTTGAATGAATGAATGAGTGACCTGTTGACCAGCCTCTCCTTTGCTCCAATTACTATTCTACTTTAGCAGCTGATTGTTGAAGCTACCGAGATGGTCAACCCTCTCTTGGAGCCCGTGGAACACCGAGATGGGAAAGTTTTCTTGCTTGGGAACAAGGTCCTTTTGCACCTCAACCTTCTCCGTAAGTGTGCCAAACAGCCCTGCCCTCCTGTCCCAAGGCTACTTGAGGCCCATACTGCCCTAAGGGTGCGCCCCCCCCCCCCCTCAAACCTGGTTCTCCCCCGGTTGGAGAGACACCATCATGATGTCGGAGGCCCTTTTGAGTGAGAGGAAGTCAGCTCCTGGGTCGGGCAACTGAAGGGAGTGAGAGGGAGAAGTAGGGGTGGGGAAAAGAAAAAGGCTGAGGGAAGGCAGAGGAGTCAGAGCTGGCGAGCTGGGAGCTGGCGGTGGAGTGAGGCTGTGGAGGGTGTCCCCTGACGGTGGTGGTGTAAGAGGCACTTTTGGCTCCTTCCACCAGGAAACCAAATCACCGAGGTGGGGCTGGAGGGCTTCCTCAATGTGGTGCGGTACCAGGCGCAGTTCTCCAAGTCCTCCAAGAGTGCGGCCAAGGGCCCCGTGGGGCTGCTCTGGCTGTCCCTGGCGGTGAGTCTGTCTTGCTGTAAGATCAGCACATACTCACTCTGCCTTTTGTCCACGTCCCGCAGCCCCTCACCCATCCTGACCCAGGAAGACTTTTCTCCCAGAAAACTCATTTCCATCCCTTTTGTCAGCCGTCGGCCTTCCTTTTCCTCCTTCAGAAAAACAACTTCTCCCCGCAAAGCCCCATGTACATCATGATGCAGGAACTGATGCTGCCAAGGGACCCCATCAGTAAGGCCAAGCACAGAGAGGAGGAGGCCATGGCTTCCGCCACCTAGGCCCCCCCCCCCCCCGCCCCCCAGCTCAGAGGCTCTGGCCACAGAAGCATCTCCTGCCCAGGTGTGGGCTGACCTCCCTAGGTGAGATCTCAGGTCAGTAACAAAGGCCACTGCTGTACTTTCCCCTTGAAATTGTCTAAAAACTTTGTTCTGGAAATACTGGGACCATTTGGACTCTTGAGTCTGTTCATGTAACGGCCAGGAACGGCGGAATCGCTCGCTGCAGTTTGCCGGGCCTTGCTCTCCTGCCTCCTGAGGGCCTAGTTCTTGCTTGCTCAGGCCACAGCACTCTCTCCTGTGCTCCTAGAGCACCTGCACCTACAGATGTCCGCAATCCTAAACCAGGACACCCAAATGGTGCGGGGGCCAGAGGAGTCAGGAGAGCTGGGGGCCCATCAGTGTGGCTCCCTCAGGACCTACTGACAAGGCGGAGTGCACGGGGCTGGCTCCTGGGAGCCAAGAGCCACTTTACAGGGAGCTTCCAGGAAGTGTCCCTCCTTCCCCTCTGGGCAGTTAACCTGGTCCACCTCCCCTCACTCTGTTGCCTCGACAGAGATGTGCTCTCCCTGCCGAGGACGCTCTTGGTGAAGCTCAGTGGCTCTCCAGGCTTCTCGGCCTCTGACCACCTGCTCAGCCCTGGGCAGCTGGCTGAGCTGCTGCAGGAAACCTGGCCAGCGTTAGATTCCCAACACGAGAACACGAGCGATTACAGGTGCCTGGCGAGGCCTAGTCCCCTCAGCTTCTCCAGCTGTTCCTACCTGAATCCTTCTAAGGCAGTAACCTTCCTAATGCCGCAACCCTTGAATACAGTGCCTCATGTTGTGGTGACCCCCAACCATAAAATTATTTTCGTTGCTACTTCATAACTGTAATTTGCTACTGTTATGAATCGTCATGTAAATATCTGATATGCTATATGTGTTTTCTGATGGCCGCGACCCACAGGTTGAGAACCGCTGCTCTAAGGTAAAGCTTCTGTGAACCTTTCCGGCCCATTCTTATTCCGGGACTTAAGCACCAATGACTGTGCCCAACTAGACCATAAGCTCACGAGGTCAGCACCTGGAATCGTGATAGGTTAGGAGGGAGGATATTAGGGCTGAAAGAGAATTTGTCTCTAAGGCCAACAGTGAAGGCGAAGAGATAGTGAAGATTTGGATGGTTAGTCAGAGGATGTGGCTGTGTCGGTCGTGGCTGGCTTGAGGGTGCAGAGCCTGCAGGGGGTGCAGGCTGAGATGCCCCTCCCCTGCATGTTTGCCTTTAAAGCCCTGCCGCTCACTGAGGGCAGCTCAGGCGGTCTCGTGACTTAGGATCCACCGCTCCTGTATGTGTGTGTGTTTAAGTGGGTGAAGTGTCTTTTTGTGTTTTGGCCATGGGGCTGTGTAACTTAGTTTTGCACAACTGTACTTCAGTGAGCACACATTTGGAGCTTGGGAGAGAATAGGGCAAGAGCTGGGTCTGGGACTGGACGTCGGGTGAGGGGGGACATCCTTCTGTCCCTCTATCCAGCCGCAGGGGGAACAACCACAATACCTTTTATCATAGCAGTTCCAAGAATCACACACACACCACAACAGTTGAAGAATATTTAACTTTTCTTAAAAAAAAAATCTTAATCATGAAAGGAAGAAAATAAGAGTATACATTATTTTAACAGCAGAACAGTCATTTCCATATCTGTATTTTATATATTATATATATATTTATATATGTATATATACACCTAGCACAGTGTGTATATTCTGTGAGTCAGTGGGGAGTGCCATGGACATGGTAACAGGGGCCAATGTTGCAGTGGCTCCTGGGGTGGTCCTGGGTGAACTTAGGGACTCCAGCATTTGAACCCCCTACTCTGGGGCCCACCCAGTTTTTAGCTCCGTACCTGATACACCGGTTTTCTGTAGGGAAAGGGTGGACACAGGTGGGGTAAGAAGTCCCCTGAAGATGGGAAGTCCAGTGGGGAGGGTGTAGCTTGGCCCTGAGCCACGGAGACCGGACTCCCGCGCTAGGTGGGCCCACAAGGGACTGGCTCAACCTTCAGGCCCTGACCCAGGAGCTGGGCGAGAACTAGGAGTTGCACCTCCTCTCCCCTTGGCAGTGGCTCTGTGGCTGCTTCCAGCACGCCAGGAACAGAAAGGTCCAAGTTATTTACAACAGCAAAGATGCACATACAATACATACATATTTATAGGAATCCAAGTGACGGAGAGGAGAGGTGGAGGCACCCCCCCGAGCCTGGGGACCCTGGGGGGAAGGAGGGGGAAGAAAGTGCATTTACACAGAAGCCTTCCCCATCCCCTCGCATGCCTGAGGTACCCACGCGCACCAGTGGACGCGCATACGTGGGACAAGGGGGCCTTAAAGATGCAGTCAGCATGCACAGGACCGGTGGCCTGAGGGAGGGGAAAAGACCCTGAAACTGGCCCTGGCCGGTGCTGCTCAGTGGTTAGTGTTGGAGTCCCGGTCACCCGGGCTGCAGGTTTGATCCCCAGCCTCTGGTCAGGGTGCCAGCGAGAGGCAACCACTCGATGTCTCTCTCCCCCACCCCCTTTTCCACTTTCTCTTAAAAAAAAAAATCAATGGAAAATATCCTCGGGTTGAGGATGAGCAAGACACTGAAACTGGACTCCCAGGCAACATGCGGGTCTGCCCCGGTAGATCCGTCTCCGGAACTGCCTCTATCTACCACGGGCGGAGGCTGGGTATCCCCACCCTGCGCCCTGCCCTAGGCCATCCCGAGCAAGGAGTGGGGTCAGAGGACCGGTGGTGTGCACAGCTACAGTCCTGGGGGTGTGGCTGCGTCTGCCACGCTGTCTTCCCGGGGGCTTCTGGTGCCTGTGGAGGATGCAGTGATGACTGAGGAACTGGCCTCTGAGATGACTCCTCTCATGTTTTGCCCGGAAAGTCCTCAAGCTCGTAAGAACGGGGGGATTACCTGTACTCAGGGAGCAATGAGACCCCCCCCCCCCCAGAACCCCTTTTCGCCTCACACTGCACGGCAGCGTGTCCTCACTAGCGGACGCTTCCTCCCCTGGGCTGGTACGAAGAGGAAATCAGCTTCACTCACTGTCCTCGGGGCAGGGCCCCAGCTCGTGGCTGTCCCAGGGGTCAGAGGGCGGGGGGTCCTTCACTGGAGGGGACAGGGAGCAATCTGCCCACTTCGCCGCTTCTGTGTGGAAACTGCCCACAGGCGTGGTGCCGCCAGAGGACTCGCCCCCGAGGGACCTGAGCAGCTCCCTGTAGGCCAGCTCCATGTCCTGGAAGAGTGCGGAAGGTCCGGTTCAGAAGGTCCCTGGGTGCATCGAGGGGAGCCCTGGGCAGGCCAAGAGCTAGGGCTCCCATGGACACACCACCAGTCCAAGCTACCCGCCCCCCCATCCCCCCCACCCCCCGACTGAAAACAGGCTGCTCCTACTGCCTTGAGGGCCTGAGCTCCAGTCCCCTCACCTTGAGCTTGTTGAGCTTGAGGGTGAGTTGCTCAATGGTTTGGAAGATTATGCCCATGTCCTTGACGGCCAGGCTGGGGGGCGAGCAGCTGGGGCGCCTCGGCTCTCCATTGCCTCCCCGCGGCTGCGGCTCGGTCCGCCAGACAGGGAGGCCGTTGGGCTGAGAGAGGTCGGTGCTGGAGTCGGGGGGTCCTGCTGGCATGCTGACATAGAAACAGTTCCCTGTCCCCATGGCGAGAGGGAGAGATTAGGAGGCAAGTGCAGAGCAAGGGGAAGCCACCCTCTCGCCCTTGGCGCTCGCCGTGCTGCCTGACTGGGCCAGAGACGGTCCTACGATGAGCTCAGAGCACTCGCCTCCTGCTGCCTACTGCGCGCCTGGGCGCTGCTCCTCCACAGAGCCTTCTGGATGGCAATGCTTAGCGTGTCCCATCCCCGGGGCAGACACTCAGGGTGACAGTTAAGGCAGGAGTGGCAGGGCTGTGTTTCATTTGGGAAATGGGGAAGGGCTCCCATTCCTAGAAGGAAGGGTAAGGAGGTGGTGGCTGGTTTAGGAACTTGTGAAAAGCCATGGGCAGTAGCCTCCTTGACCCTGCCCATCGGCCATTTACTTCACAATCCAGGAGATACCTCCACTCATCATTGGGGGTCAGGCAGCCGGAGGAAGGACGCAGAGGGTCCCTGCCCGGGCAGTAGGCATAGGTGGATGCCAAGGAACTGTGGTGTGGAGGGCACGTAAGCCTATGTCCACCGTGACACTGGAGTAGTGGCTGGTGTGGGCAAGGACACTGGGCACTGGGCCAGGCCTCCCACCCACATGACAGCACAGCGGCTCACCCTCCTACTCTGCAAGACACCTGGGCAGCTCTCGACAAGGGGGTGGCACAAGGCCTGTCCCTGTCTGTGGCCCAGGGCCCGGCTCTGCCCTCTGGGCCCCACTCTCTGGCTCCCAGGAGGGGTTTATTACCCGTAGCCTTTGCTCCGCCTTCCACTTCAGGTGGCTCAGCCTCTGACTGGCCACCCTCTGGTAGAGCAGGGACAGCCTTACTGCCTGCCACCTCAGCTGCACCGCCACCGCCACCACCACCACCAGGGAGAGCAGAAACCAAAAGAGAAGGGAAGGGAAGGGAAGGAGAGGAGGAAGAAATGGGGGTGGAGAGAAAGAAAAAGGGAAGAACACAGTGAACACAAGCTCACACGTGACTCTTCCCCAGGGAGCTGCAGAGAACTTTCCCACCAATTCACCAAAGGAGAGAGAAGGAAGGTCAGTTCCCAGAAACCCAGGAGAGAGGGCAGACCATGAGCAGATGAGTAATAAATGCTCCTGGAAAGGGAGGCAGAGCTGAGCGCGAGGGGAGGATCAGGAACTGGCACTGACAGGAATCGCATCCCACTCCTCAGGGGCGCCCTGGCCTGCTGCTCTCCTCCACCAGGCCTCCCTCTCCCGCTGACCCCTCCCCTGCCAGGGCTCACTGCTCTGGCCAAACCCATCCTGAGCACCATCCTGGCAGGCTCAGCTTTGCTGGTCTTAAAGCGTCCACCATATCCACAGCTGGG